ATTGACATGTGCACTGTATGTGATCAAACTTCATATATAATCAACTATTAATATGAAAGTTTAAAGTTGAATTTACATCCAAACCTGAAAAGATGACTCATAAAACTGCCCCTAATGCAGCCCCCTGGTGCAAAAACATATATATATAATGTCTCAATGAACTGTTGATCTGAACGTTTGGATTGTTATTTCCTTCTGTTAATTGGCTTAATAAGGGACATACTGTATATTTCACTGTGTGGGATCAAGGCTTCCAGGAGGCTTAGCTCATTTCACTTGGATCTGTGGAGCCTCATATGGCGCTGCGCTCTTTAAGCCTCTTATGAATCACGACGGCAGCAGATGTAGAATCAGGAGCTCCTGCTGAGAGGAGAAACCCGCCGGCTGAGCCTCAAATCTCTGCCGAACCTCAGCGAAATATCGATACTGCCTTTGTTTGTGCAAGCAGCACACCGAGCTGTCAGGAAGATGGAGCGCGTAGTGGGTGTCCAACTCTGAACAACAACACAAACAAATCCATCCTGATAATCTTAAAGCCATGCTTCCGCAGGAGATCAGGAAGCAGAAGCCCCGCTGTGTGTCAGAACCGATTTTTTGCGGGCAAGATGTTCCTCCCGTGCCGATTCGGCCCTTGAAGAACCGGGAGTTCCCTCTGAGCGCGAGGCGGCGCCGCCACGGTTCCGCACCTGAACGGAAGGTGAACTGCGTCCTGGTTGGAGACGGAGCTGTGGGCAAGACCAGCCTCATCGTCAGCTACACCACCAACGGATACCCCACCGAATATGTTCCCACAGCGTTTGACAACTTTACCGGTAATGGTTGACGTCAATGTGGCTGATTTGCAGCTTTACGCACAGGTTTTACGCACAAGACTTATTTTAGATTGAGGCTCTGAACCTTATTTTTTGCAGCTTTTCCACAGGTCCTATAACTATATTTTATTATTTTACTTCTTCACTTCTTGCAGCATCATCTGTATTTACAGGGTCGATCTTTAACTTACTTCTATCACTTGAATTAATTGTATTTTTCTTCCGTTTTATTTTATTTTATTGTAAGCACTTGCAATCTTCTTTGTGTCTGAAATGTGCTACACGAGTAAAGTAACCTTAACCTTAACCTTGACAGATGTAACGTTTAAGGCTGTCGGTATTTTGACCTAATTTAACTTATAATGCTATCAATCAATACTGTCTTTACCAGCTCATATATTAAAACACATCATATGTTTACATGATAAAGTATATGCTGCAAGAAACTCTTTAAAGACACAATACTTACTTTTTGTATCTTCTCAGTCATGGTGGTGGTTGATGGAAAGCCAGTGAGACTGCAGATCTGGGACACAGCTGGACACGTGAGTTACTGTTAAATAATACCACAGACCTTTAATACAACACTTAGCAAATGGTGCAAACCTAGTTCCCTATTTTTTTATAGAAATATTTATCTTTTTATATCTTTCTCGTGCTGCTCTGTCACAAAGAAGTGGGGGCTGGTTGATGGATCAATCAAAGTAAGTCATCAGGGATCAATGAGTGTTTGTCAGTAGTTATTGGAGTGTTTGTGTTGGTGTCCCCTGGCTTTTAGTCCTGGACTGAAATCCTTTTAGACCCCTTTAGTTTTTAGTTGCCCCCCAGTATCTCCACATGTCTCATCGCCCCCTGCAGGAAGTCACCATGTTTGTATTTGAGGAGTTTTGCCCCCTCTGTCCTCCTGTGCTCCATCGCCCTCTTTTGGCTGAGTGTTCATTATCCATCATCAACTCTTCTTTTTAAAAGCTTTAGCTGACACTTTTATCAAAAGCAACATGCGTGCACTGCAGACGTTTGCATATCAGCGCTTCACTGTGGTGACATTATTTAACCTTTTAAAAGATGCAACTAAACAGACATTATTGAGGAAATGTTAACCGAGGCCAGCTTGAGTCCTGCTCCAGAAGTTTCATTTACATTTTGGAGATCAGAAAGAGACACATTTAGGTATTTTCATGTGTGTTTTTGATGACAATAAGAAAGATACAGAATAAGCCTTTAAGTAGCAGATTTCATTCCTGCATGTCTTCTGCTCTGCTTGTTTTCCGAGTCCTGCTCCAAAAATGTAATTCACATCATGGAGGTCAGAAACTATGAAGAGACACATTTTGGCCTTTAAAGGTGGGGTAGGTAATTTTGGAGAAACCGGCTCGAGATCGCTAGATTTTGAAAATACACAGCCGGAAGAAATCTGCCACTTCCTTATGGAGCCCCTCCTCCAACACACACGAACGCACACATGACCAATGAGGGCACGAGATAAGTTTGTGCACAGATGGAAGGCTGACAGGCAGGTAGGCCATCCAGTTATTTTAGCCGGGCCGTCTCAAATGATTGGTCGTGCTTTTTACAGTACTACGGCTTCCACAGATGACATTTTTATGGATTTTTTGTCAAAGCACTTCAGATATTCATTGCTATCGGGATGTTGAGAGCATTCCATGGAATATAACAAAAAGTGTATCTCGAGCCGGTTTCTCAAACTTACCTACCCCACCTTTAATGTGCTTTTTTTTTGCCTGACAATAGGAAAGAAATTCTAACCTGTCCTCTTTGTCCCCCTCGTTTACTCCACTACTTATTTTTCTGACGACTTTTCACTTTGACTTCTTACATTTTGAACCCAAATACCTGTACTTTCTACTTCTTACATTTTGAACCCAAATACCTGTACTTTCTACTTCTTACATGTTGAACACAAATACCTGTACTTTCTACTTCTTACATGTTGAACACAAATACCTGTACTTTCTACTTCTTACATGTTGAACCCTAATACCTGTACTTTCTACTTCTTACATGTTGAACACAAATACCTGTACTTTCTACTTCTTACATTTTGAACCCAAATACCTGTACTTTCTACTTCTTACATGTTGAACCCTAATACCTGTACTTTCTACTTCTTACATCTTGAACACAAATACCTGTACTTTCTACTTCTTACATTTCCCAAACAGGCTGGTTCCTTTAGTTTGAATGTGTGTTTGGTGGCGTGATCATTATTATTTAGAGTCATTGCGTGCCTATTGATTTGAACACGATCCGTGTATCCATCATTTCCTGGTCTTCTCTAAAGAAGAGGGACCAATGCAAACGTTGTCATGTTGCCGTTGTTCAGCATGGAAACATTCATTAGCTAACAATGACATTATTGTTCTATTAATATAAAGGGAGGTCAGGTACTCTTTAAAACAGCTGCTAGTTATGGGTACTTTTTACTGAAGTACATTTCAAAGCCCTCTTTACTTTGACTTGAGTAAAGAAGTTTAGTCAGTACTTCTACTTTTACCAGAGTATTTTTAAACACGAGTATCTGTACTTCTACTTGAGTAAAGGATGTGTGTACTTTTTACTCTCTGCCAACCAGTCCTCTCTGTTTCTGGTTTCTCTCCATAAAGGACGAGCTGGATCTCCTTCGTCCTCTCTGCTACAAAAACGCCGATGTCTTCCTCCTCGTCTACAGCGTGGTTCGGCCCTCCTCCCTCCGCAGCCTGGTGGACCGCTGGCTCCCTGAGATCCGGCACCAGTGCCCGGACACTCCTCTGGTCCTCGTCGGCACCCAGCTGGACCTGAGGGAGGATGTCCAGGTTCTGATCCAGCTGGCCCAGAACCAGCAGCGTCCCGTGGGCACGGAGGAGGGCCGGCAGCTGGCAGAGGAGCTGGGTATGGTGGGATTCATGGAGGTCTCTGCGCTGACCCAGAAGAACCTGAAGGACCCGTTTGATTCGGCCATCTTGGCCAGCATCCAGCAGACGGAGATGGAGAGTTGCAGCGAGGAGAGGAAGATGAAGATGAAGATCCCCCTGAGGACGAAGACGCCGGATAAGATGAAGAGTGTCTGGGAGACCTGGTGGAGGAAGATCAACTGTGTGATGGTGGAGCAGAGCTGTGAGGTCAAGTGAACGTTATTGAAAACCTGGGTCAGATCATCGAAAAACGGTTCAATTTGGAATGAAAATGTCAAAATACACATTTCAGGTGTTTTATTTGACTACTTTTTTCTATTTGCATCTGGATATTTCTCCAAAACTCACCGAAACATGGCAGAATTAATCATTTGAAACATACAAGAAAAAGTTTCATTATGATCTAATTAATGATTAACTGTGAGATCAAGTGAACGTCACATTTAACTTGTTTATTTTGACTAGTAACGTCTATTTGCATCTGTATATTTCTCCTAAACTCAACAAATACAATACAAACCTCGGTCAGTTCATCGGAAAGCTGATACATTAGTTTTCTTCATCATGATGGCAGAAGGTGGAAAGAAAATATCCAAAAGAAACATTTCAGGTTCTTTATTTGACTAGCTTACGTCTATTCTATTGCATCTGGATATTTCTCCAAAACTCCTCAAAACATGGCAGAATTGATCATTTGCACATTGAAACATACAAGAAAAAGTTTCATGACGATCTAATTAATGATCAACCAGAAGAACCTGAAGGACCCGTTCGATTCGGCCATCTTGGCCAGCATCCAGCAGACGGAGATGGAGAGTTGCAGCGAGGAGAGGAAGATGAAGATGAAGAAGACGCCGGATAAGATGAAGAGCGTCTGGGAGACCTGGTGGAGGAAGATCAACTGTGTGATGGTGGAGCAGAGCTGTGAGGTCAAGTGAACGTTATTGAAAACCTGGGTCAGATCATCGAAAAACTGTTGAATTTGGAAAGAAAATGTGCAAAATACACATTTCAGGTGTTTTATTTGACTACTTTTGTCTATTTGCATCTGGATATTTCTACAAAATCCAACAATAGACGGCATAATTTGCACATTTAAACATACTGTTCCATGATGGTATCGAGTTGTGAATGTTTCTATCCTGTCCACCTGTAGTGGCTTGTGCAAAATGTATGGAATACATATTTTTAAAGGTAATTTTCTAAATATTTTTGAGAGAAATCTCCAACTTTTTAAGTTTCATACTTATCTTTATTCTACAATTTCTTAACAGAGAGTTTATATTTCATTGATAGCCAGATTTTGAGAACATGTTACACATAAAAACATAACAAATATTAATCATAGATGTCTGTTTTTCCACTTTAATCTGATATACTGTGCATATTTTATTTAGATTTTTATTTAATTTAATTTATTTATATACATCTTATTTAACGTACTTTTTTGTTTATTTATATTACTTTTTGCTCATTAATTAAATTGTTTTTCAAAACTGTTTTATAACAGTAATATAATTGCTGTTTTTCTACAACTGAATTTCTGTTACTGTGTTTATGTATGCACTTAATTTATTGGCAATAAACGTGATTGTTGTTACAGTTATTTTCATTTCCCTCAGTTGTCATTAAATATGATCAGATGTCTTTTAAAGAGTCCTCTCCTGCTGATGTTCAGGTGTATATCAGTATGTAGTCTTTCTACTTTAAAGAGTCCTCTCCTGCTGATGTTCAGGTGTATATCAGTATGTAGTGTCTCTACTTTAAAGAGTCCTCCTGCTGATGTTCAGGTGTATATCAGTATGTAGTGTCTCTACTTTAAAGACTCCTCTCCTGCTGATGTTCAGGTGTATATCAGTATGTAGTGTCTCTACTTTAAAGAGTCCTCTCCTGCTGATGTTCAGGTGTATATCAGTATGTATTGTCTCTACTTTAAAGAGTCCTCTCCTGCTGATGTTCAGGTGTATATCAGTATGTAGTGTCTCTACTTTAAAGAGTCCTCTCCTGCTCATGTTCAGGTGTATATCAGTGTGTAGTGTCTCTACTTTAAAGAGTCCTCTCCTGCTGATGTTCAGGTGTATATCAGTATGTAGTATCTCTACTTTAAAGAGTCCTCTCCTGCTGATGTTCAGGTGTATATCTGTATGTAGTGTCTCTACTTTAAAGAGTCCTCTCCTGCTGATGTTCAGGTGTATATCAGTATGTAGTGTCTCTACTTTAAAAAGTCCTCTCCTGCTGATGTTCAGGTGTATATCAGTATGTAGTGTCTCTACTTTAAAGAGTCCTCTCCTGCTGATGTCCAGGTGTATATCAGTATGTAGTGTCTCTACTGGGACATGTCTTCATGCTTTAATGTTCAAAAAGCTCTTTATTTCTCTCATACTGCCTGTGCTGCAGCACCTCTTTTCACCCTCTGTCTGAAACCAGAGCCCAGTCTGCTCTGATTGGTTAGCTGGCCGGCTCTGTTGTGATTGGTCAACCGCTTAGAGATGTCCCGCCCCTTAGCCTATCACGTACAATGTGTTGGAGCGCTAGCCAATAGGAGCCAAGTGTTACACAGTGATGTCACTATGTTCCGGAAGTAAACAAAGGAGTCCAATGGAGGCGTTTTAGAGTGTGTGTGAGAGAAACCCCCTCTTGAGGAACACAGGGATTTTAGCCATTTGCATGCACTAAAACCTAGATAACTACAGGAAAGAGAAACCCCCAAAAAGCACAGGGCCTCTTTAAGGTTTAAAGCAACATGTATTCTCTATCATTTCATTTCAAACATTCGCGATATATTATATTTCATTGGGGGTGAATTAAGGAACTATCTATTTATAAGAGCAGCATTCACTTGTTTCTTCAGAGCACTTGTATCCGTGCCAAGGACATGTTGGAGTGTTAATAAGGATTAAGAGCTGCTGATTGGCTCCCTGATCCTCCTGATCTACTGACCCAGCACGGACACACTTTTATAGACCTGCATGCATACAAAAGCATCCTCACCTCAGGTACAGATTGGGAGTGAAAAGGAGAAGGAAACGGGTCCAGAGGGATATGTTTCTGTAATCTCTGGTGACTGCTCTAATGGGAGCAGACAGGAGCAGCTGGAGAGGATTACACAGCAGATGGAGGCGGACACTTCACACCTTCACAAGTCACAAGATGAGATAGGACTTTATTTAACCCCAAGGAAATTGTTTGGGTATTTTCTGCTGTAACAAATGTACATTTCCCCTCTCTGGGACGGATAAAGGTATTCTGATTCTGATTGAACTGAACATTATGATTAGATCCTATTGAACACGTAAGAAACATGTGTTAAGCGTGTGGAGTATTTTGATTTAATTAAGAAACAGTCGTCATGTTCTCACCCTGTCCGAAGCATTTAGGTTAGATTTAACAGGTGACCTCTATTAATCTGACTTAATTTCCCTCTCTCACACACACACACACACACACACACACACACACACACACACACACACACACACACACACACACACACACACACACACACACACACACACACACACACACACACACACACCACACACACACACACACACACACACACACACACACACACACACACACACACACACACACACACACACACACACACACACACACACACACACACACACACACACACACACACACACACACACACACACACACACACACACCAGAGCCTCTACTTCACTGTGTTTGTTGTAATACCTGCTGCTCACCAGCAGAGATCACTGATATTCACATTTTACACCTCATCGGGACATGGAGGTAATTCAGAGTCTCATGCTGGTTGGTAGAGTTTGTTTCAGTGACATTTTTATGGGTAAAATCCAGGACCCGTGACCTTTATCAGTGCAAAATGTGATGGTTTAGAAAAACAAGAACAGGACGCACTTACAGACTTACAGAATAGTTTTTATGCCCCACAAATAAGTTTCATAATGCAATGAAATAATGATAACACAACATCTAAGTGCTTTATGATAGAAAACATCGCCTTTTCTAAATAATAAACACTCTGCATGCTTGAGAGGGCAAAACAAATGGAAATACAATTATATTTTATATTAAACAACTGTAAAAATCGCTTAAATAAATGCATCATATGGATAATGTGATTATCTGGGGTGGATGGATTTAGGGGGAGAAGAAACAGACTAGAAAGGTGAGAGAAGATTTGTGAAGAGTGTGTAAGAGCGCTGAGCTTCATTTAAACAATAATTGAAGCTTTCAGATTCTGAAGATTCAAACATGGCTCTCCTCCTGTTCCTATGGTTCTTCTGTCCGTTCTGCAGAAACCAGGTTCAGGTCTGAGTCGTTCTCATACTCACAACAAGAGTCTAACTGATGGAGAGACAACGAGAGGAGAGTCAGAGGCGTCAACACGTGGATACATTCATACTTTTGGTCAAACAGAATTCAACGTTTCCTATATTTTGCTCCTTTTTCAGTGTTTGTTGGAAAATGTGTGAAAACATTGTACTAAAAAAACTGAAACGTTGATTTGAAATAAATGAAATATGTCCACTAATTACACATAAATGTATTAGGTTAGGTGAAAGCAATAATATTAAAGGGCCCATGTCATGCTTTTCCGGTTATTACCCGTCCCCTGTATAGGACAGAGAGTGAATACCTGGTGAATACACATACTATACAGAGATGCTTTATGAGAAACCAATGTGATTTTGTAAAATTGCACAATATACATTTATTCTAGTAGACCTCAACAATGGAAATATGATCAGTAGAAATGGCCATGACATGGGCCCTTTAAGTTTAAATAGGTTCAACTAAATATGATTGCTTTCTTAATATCATTGCTTTCATCTCACCTAATACAATTATGTGTCATTTGTTGACATAATACATTTAATTCAAGTCAATGTTTCAGTGTTTCCATTTCAATGTTTTCACACATTTTCCAACAAACACTGAAAAAATGAAACGAAAAACAAATATAGGATCGTGTGTCATTCAAGTAGAGCTGCTGGGACTCCCAGCAGCTTCTACTGAAGCGAGTAAATCGCCAGAACGCCGACACCTCCTCATCTCCACCGCTCCCATGTTTTATTTTGTGTTGCCATAAGTTAGTCTCTCTGCGTTTGTGCGCTGGGCGAATGCTAATGCTAATAATGCTAATGCGAGGATAATAAAATGGCGGCTCTACAAAACATTTCAGAGTTTTACGGGGCGTGGTTTGCAATTCGCCCAGC